AAATTTTTTTGGAACACACTATAGACCTAAGTGAATAGAAAATTTTCATATTATTCAACTCATAGTTTTCTATATGTAAAAATTACAAAACTCACCTAAATTAAAAAAATATAGTAATTATTCGAAATTATTAGAAATTATTAGAAATTTCAAGCTATAAATCCTTTTTTTAAATTTAAATTTTGATTATTTTTAACGAAGGTATTGATGGAAAAAGGTCTTTTTACTAATTTGTAAAAAGACTTTCCCTAATCCAATGTAATATCTAGAACGTTTTTAATTTTTCATAAATCTTAATAAAAAAAAATTCTTTTATGTTTCAGAATCTTTTCTTGTAAAATTCATTGTGTAGAAGAAAGTAAACAGACAGATGGTATAGTTGTACGAAAAGGAGGCATTGAAACTCTTGTGTTGCAATAAAATTAATACTTATTTAATATTTATTACACATATATTTAACGGAATCCTAAATATATTTATAATTTTTATATTTTAATAAATATTTTAAGAGAAAATATATACGTACTAAAAGTATATACGATATGCATATTAAAAACTGGAAATAAACATTCTATGTATTTGCACATATTTATTTGTGTACTTTTATATTACAATTCTTGTGATGCACACAAGACTTCTTTTAATAATTATTAAAATTGAATTCATGATTAAGAGTTGGACATATGTAAGATTAGGGAAATATTACAGTATACGATACGTAGTATGACACATGTTACGTATATTATACGTAGCATTTCCCTAGTTTTACGTATGCAATATTTTTTAAGAATGGGAGTCTAAGTTATTCGCCTCATGGCAATCGACGGAAATGTAGCACATCATGCACGAATAGTGCGTCACATTTGTCCAAATTCAACTCCAAATTACGATGATTACACTTTTTCTTAAAAATAAACAAATTCGGATTTAACATTTATATAAATGTTTATAACAATCATGATAATAAAACTTTAATTTTTCATTATTTTAGTAACTTCGTTCCTGCTAATGTTGGTAAGTTATTCTTTTATTCATTCGGATATTTCATTACATATTCACCTATTTTGAGAAACGAATAAGAAAAAAAGATAAATCATGCGTCATAAATCAATTTATACATATAAAATAGAATTTTTTAAGTCAAATATATAAATTCAATAAAATTGTTAATTAGTTTTAAAAAGAATGATTTTTTAAATAATATATTTGAATAAAATTGTGACAGTTTCAAATTTTTATGTAGAGGAAAATTAATATGATAAATAATGTGAGAGTCAAACTCGTAATATACAATGCGTAACATAGGGAGTATTTTCCAAGCCACAAATGGTACAATGGTAGTAATGTGTCAAACAACTTGTCGAAAAACTGAAGCAATTAAATTTATACAAATAAATTTTAATAACAAAAAAACAGCTTTATATTCTGCAGTGTTGAAATAATATATACATTAAACATGTAAGATCAAGGATATTGAATGTTACATCCAAATGTTACGATATCGAATGTTGAATTCCAAGAGACTCACACAATTTTTTCTTTCATGGAGATCTAATCTTTGTCATAATCCCAAAGACAGTAACGAGAAACAGACAAAATCCATCTGTTAACTGAAGTACAATGTTTAGATAAAAATATCTAGATATTTTAGTTGTATCTTGCGACCTGGGGATCCTCTCGCAGTTTCGAGCGCTCCTCCATCTCTCCATAATGATCCAATGCCAGATTCGAGTAGCGACCAAATTCGAGATCCACTTGAAGGAAACGGAGAAGTTTATGCGAGGATTTCTTCCCCATCTCATTATTGTGGTTAGGAATTTCAATGTCTGATCTACAATATGAGGCTCTAGGCGTGACCCTGAGGTCATAGTCTCGAGCAGTGGGCCCTCGAACTAGGACTGGTGTTGGTCAATACCGGGTCGAAGAGTACTTGCGTCCAGCCGCAGAGAGAATCCATAATGGACTTCTCCTGGGCTATCTCTCCCTAGCTGTGATAACGGAATGGGAGATATTCGACATGGGACCACGTCCAACCATTATATGTAAGCGCCTCAGTCTCAGGTCGACTTCCCAGGGAGGCATATTTCAGAGAGAAGAGGAGATTTTTAAGCCTCGTTGGGCGATCAGGAAGCTTAATTTCTTGATGACGATAGTAAAGGCGGACAGTAAAATTATCTGCATTTATGACCTTGGCCTCTGTCAAACAGGAAACGGAGCGTCTCGGCAGTCCATCGCGCCTGCGGCGCGGCTATATCCAAAGTTAAACAGTGCCTCCCAAAGCGGCTTATTAATGGGCGATGGAAATCGTCGAACTGAGACAATCCTCCGTCTGGACAAGGCCCTGCCTACCGCACGCTGGAAGGATCTCTTCAAAACCTCTTACGGGGATCGCTGACTGGATGGTTGCGGAGCAGGACGCGTTCGAGATCGCCAGAACTTGAGGTGCCAAAGTGGGGGCCTAAGAGGAATTCTTTCAAGATCTGGAGAAGGATCCGTGAAGGCATCCGTATAAAATTGTATTTTGGACAATCTCCGGTTGCAAAGACTCCAGACTGTAAGTTCCAGGCCGGGGTCTGGAGACCTTATTTCTGACGAGAGAGGAAGTCCATTCTTGATGAATGAACCGAGGAATTCGGGGTCACTGCCGATGAAATAAAGTTGGCAGCGAGGAAGTTCGAGTATATCCAAAGCCTGGACCGGACGGAGTCTTTGACCGAGGGTGGTTCCTTATCATGGATGAACTCAGCGCTCGATTCCAGGCACTCTTCACGCAGTGCATGAGAGTGAGCCGCTTCCTCTCCAGATGAAAGGGGAATTTGGGGGGAATTTGGCCTTCTCACGGAAGGTGGGGAAGTCGGATTCTTCGTCCGCACATAGGCCGATCTGCCTGCTAGAGGCAGAGGTAGGGAAGCTGTTCAAACGGATCGTGGCTTCCCGGATTGTCCAACAGCTATCCTGACATGATCCCAACTTACGAGGACCAATTCAGCTTACGTGAGGAGCGGCCTACCATGGACACAATTCTACACTCTCTCTTGGAACAGATAGTGGAGGAGGGTGAGATTGCATCGTCTGTGTCGCTGGATATAGTCAATGCGACTCCATCCTCTGGGATGTGATCGGGAGGACCGCAGTACTTCGGCCTTCGCAACTATCTCAAAGCAGCTCTCAGGGACTATTTTTCCGGGGCAAGGAGATCTATTACACAGATCAGCTTGAGTGAACGGAGAATCGCTGGTTAACTTGTTGATTTCACAGAGATCGATCCCTTCATATGGAATCTTGCGTATGACGAGATTCTTCTCACTCCCCTCCCCGCTAGCTGCAACTTTGTCTGCTACGTGATGATACACTGATTATGACTGGTGAAGATACATAGGAGAGTCCGACGGAATTGGAGATGGCTCCTTAGAAAACAGAGGCTCTGTTTTCACGATCGGGTCTGTGGTAAGCTCCCTTCAATGGAAATATAAATTATTAGGACAGCCCGCGTTCAAGTACGCTCCAGGATGAAGTACCTGGGGCTCGAGCTAAATAGGTTCTAGAGGTTCATACTTTATTTCAAGGCCATAACCCTCAAAGCGGACAGAATTGCGGCTACACTAAATCACCTTCTGTCCAATCTTGATGGACAGAGCTCTGTCTCGAATATGTCAAGGCCTTATATATGGACCCGAGAAATGGCAGTAAATAGGCGTATAAAACACCTAGTATTCTCCTTACAACAGAAACTGGCTATACGGGTGACCCGGATCTATCGCACAGTGTCTCACACAGCAATCACCGCAGAGATGTCCCCCGGTTGATCTCATCGCCAATGAGCGTGCCAAGGTCTATCGGTACGTTCGGCGAATGAAAGAGAGAGAGGGCGGGCCAACCGCAAAGGCAGTGAACATCCTGAGGGAACGGGAAAAGGGAAAAGCTATTTGGGAGTAGGAAAAGTATCTTCTGTACCCGGACTCCTCCAGACCACCGAGACCATCCAACCCATCTCAAGAAATCCAAAGGCGGACTGTCTTATCATTTGGTGCAGGTGCTCTCCAGGTGTGAATGCTTCGGCAAGTCCTTGTATCGAATTCAAAAGAAGACCCCTCGGTGTCACTGTGACGCTGGAGTGGACACGGCCCATTTCATCTTGCCCATTATCGATATAATCGGAAATTACTTATCTTTTTCGAACATCATAAAGATGTTCGGTAGGGAACATAAATTGAATGGTTGTTTCAAACTACTGCACCTCGATATGGTGCAAAAAGAGCCGAGACGGTGGGAGGTCCCCCCCCCCCCAATTTCGCAAAGAGGAATGTGGCGGGCTTCCTCTTTTCCCAAAAATTGCGAAAAAAGAATGCCGTACCCATTTGAAATAGAAGAAACTCTTTTCCCTGCAATTCTCTGGCGCGTATGGGATCGACCCCACGCCACCGCGAGGAAATCGATCGCAGTGTGCCACATGCCTATGGCGCCACAGTCTGAGAGGAAGCTGGAAGTATACCGCTGGTGATTTCCGGCTTCTTCCTTCTAAAGATTGTCAGTCGGCAGCGGTGGGGTTTTTAGTGGGTAGGCGGTGTCTCTTGACGTTCCCCCCGAGAAGAGGGCACAAAAGCGTCGAATCCCACTACCCCCGAGTTAAGTCGATTCCGAGAGTGTCTTCTTTTCTCTTCCATGGGATATTCTTCTACGGGGATGATCGCTTCTTTGAGGAGTATACGAAGATTTTCTCCACCTTAAAAAAAAAAAGTAGCTAGCTTAGATAGTTGAGTATTAGAGATTCAGAAAAGCAATTTTAATTAGGTAGAGATTAAGGCTTGATTTTTAATGATCGTTAACTTATGCCGGTGTCGGTAAAGTTCAACCATAGGATTTCAATGCTTTTGTTCATATTTGCTATTCGGATGCTGGTAACTTATGCAGTATCTAACTGAACTTTATCTTTAACGGCAAGTGATCATGTAGAGGTTGATCAAAATTTACAAGTCTGTGTGACCGCTGTGACTGATTCTATATCATTTCTGTGCAGCTTTGATACGAGCTAAGATGGAAATAAACGAAACAATTTTTAATATTAAATTAATAACTTTAAAGATTTCCACATTTGTACGATAAATCTAGCGCAAAATATAAAGATCGCACCGCTGTAGATAATTCATGATGGTTCATAAACGAAGAATTACAAATATCAGGTAAATGTACACATATCATTGTTTGACAAAACAATAAAATATAAGCTAATTATTCTGTTTAACCCCCCCCCCTCCTCTACCCCCATCTCAATGAATAGACTTTTTGTGTTGGGTGATTGTGACAGATTTCCTAACCTCAATAATCGTCAACTTTAACGCTTAATATCTCGATTCACAAGGCAAAGCGACGCATATTTCTGCCAGATTCTTTCGTTTCATGCAAAAACACGTCGAATTAAGCCTAATTTCTTTGAGGTGGAGGGGGGGAGGAGTTAAATTGAATAATTACCAAATATAAGAAAAGATAAAAATGATTATATAAGGCCTTCTAATTTTATATAAAACGAACTATATTAGTTAATTAAATATATAATTGTATAAATAGAAAAGTTATATTAGATTAGATTAGATTTAAAAAATTATATATATGTGTGTGTGTGTGTGTGTGTGTGTGTGTGTGTGCGTGTGTGTGTGTGTAAATAATTATGTACTTTATTTTAATTAATGATTGTATTAGTCGTTGGACGTCACAAAATAGATTTTCTAAAGAACGTGCCAAAAAGACTCTCAGCTACACAAACGAAATGGCCGTTAATGAAATATCTGGCATTCTTACACGCTGTGGTGAGGAAAAGATGAACATTTGGAAATGTTAGAATGACGAATGATTCATTCGTATCAAATGTAGACGATTCTTTTTTGAAAAATTTTCCTGAATCCCAGAATTTTGATGAAGACAATACAAGCAACAATACAAGCCTGATTGAAAAGGATGATTCTATACAATACATTATGAATATTTAAGTAAATATTTTAATTATGAGACAGGTATATCTAAAAATTTCTTATTTTATATATTATGGTATTAAATATTAATCTATATAGCTATCATAATTGTTAAACAAATTGTTTTTATTGAGATCTATAACTAATATTATGAATAATTGCAGATTCTGCAGATGCTCACGCGGATATACCTATTGTGGAGGAACCTTTTGAATCTTTGTCAAATCTTTGCAATGAAAATATATTTCATGAACAACAAGGTTGAACACTTCAACATTCAATACATCTATATTACAAAGATTATCAAACACATGTACACCACGAAGATCCACAACACCTCTATACCAAACACATCTATACCACTTAACATTTATACCAAGAACTGGTCATAAGACAAAACCCTTAGACGTTAATATATAATTAACTAGTGCTGTAGATGCTTTTAAAAACTATGTTACTTATAGAAATACTACAAATGCTGAAAACGATTCCCGAAAAAATTTTTGTGATTCTTATATGAAGATTTAAAAAATATTAAAAAAGATTTAATATCTTGTAAAATTGAAATTACGCAAATAATTTCAAAATATACAGAATAAAACTTTGTCTTTAATTGATAGTAAGATATGCAAGTAACATATATATGATAGATTTTATTGTTAAATATATATACATATAGAAATAAAGGTACAGTTTATAATAAATGTATATTGTGTAAGCAATTTATTTGTATGTATTATATTATAAAAGAATGCAAAATTAATACGTCTGAATTCTTCAAAACTATAAATTTTTATCATTAATCCATAATTTTAATTATGTAGTCAGCATATATTTTAGCTTTGATATAAAGTGAAATGATTTAGTGAAAAAGCAACCATAGTATAAATTTGTATAAAAATCACCAGAAACTTTCTAAAAAATATATTATTAAAGTGTAACAAATATATTAAATAGTATCAAAAATTTTATCATAAAAGATACAAATTACCTTATATAAATATTCTATTTCACATTAAAAAATATAGGAATATTTATTCTGGATACCCTTTAAAGATATGATTCCATTGCCAAGGAATTGCTCCTTCATTTGAAAAATAGTTTGTCATAGTATTTCGAAGTTCAATTATATTTCTGGAAGGATTATTTGCTCCTAAACGTCCAATTCTTTCAAAACTATTCAAATGATCGTTTCTAAAGAGACCTAATGTAATACTGCCATCAGAATGAATTACATTGATAAAAAATGGCAATATACTGTTTTTTCCGCCAAAACATTATTTTCAGAAATACGTAAAAAATTATGCAAGCATACTGTAGCTGCAACATTTTTTCTACAGTTTCCACATCAGCAATAATATTATTTCGTAATATTTGCCATTTTGATGACAACGAAAATGCCAAATGCATTTTCAATCGTTCGTCGTGCTCTTGACAATCGATAATTGAAAATTCTTTTTTGAATATCTAAATTCTTTCCAGGATAGGGCCTTAAAACATAAGATTTCAACGGAAAGGCTTCATCTCCTACAAAAAAAATGTGAAAACATACTAATTGTATTTGACAATGGCGAATCTTCTGGTAAGCTTATTGCACTAGATTCTAATGCTCGTCCAAAAGTTGACTCTTTAAATATATCTCCATCACTTTGTGAACCAATATCCACAAGTGTAAATATGTAATCAGCATCACAAACAGCTAGTAATATAATAATACTATAATAATACTAGTAATATAATAATACTAAAAGTTTTTTATAATTAAAATAGGCACTTCTAGATTTATCTAGAGCCTAAATGATTATGTGCTTTCCGTCTATAGCACCACAACAGTTAGGAAAATTCTATTTCACCAAAAAATGCTTTACTCTTGTCTTGCCAATCATCAATTGTTGCTTTTAAATAAATTGAAGAAAGGATCTCCCAAATAGCTGCACATGTTTCTCGAATGATTACTGATGCCGTTGTTTTTCCTATCATAAAAGACTACGCCACTACTTGCATGCTGCAGCCTTATGCTAGATAACTAAAATAATATAATTTATGTTACATTATTATTTGTAAAAACTAGATTAAATTAGATTTAAAACAATAATAAATTTAAAACAATAAATTTATCATAATTTATAAAATTTATTTACATACTATAATGTAATAACAAGTCTATGTTCAGGATTTATCGGTGCTATGCTTCACTAATTTGTGTCGAATAACATCCAATAAAATGCATAAAAACATTGGGGTGACATTTTCGTATATTTTACAAAGTGTTCTTCACCAACTTTCTTCATGTCAGAAAATAAATTACGAAAATGTCCTTTAAGTCATCTTTTTTTGTTTATTGGACGTATGCTCCAACGACGTTTTCTTCTCTTTGATGTTCTATTAGCAGTATGAGAAAGATCAAGAAGTTAAAAACATTCCGTTAAAACACAATTATTTCATCTATATTCATTTTAACCAAAAATATTATTATTATAACAGCTTCGAGATTTATTGACATTACACGAAAGCATATATGGCTCCTATACATTAGACGCAGAAATGCTTGCTGCATAACAAGACATGACACGGTAGCCAATAAACATAATGTTTTTCCTTAGAAACTGTAAGTTTATTGATTATCGCGTCGCATATCTGGCCACGCGGTATCCAATGTGCACAAGCCGATATTGGTTTACGGCATGCAGCAAATCATTATAAACAGAACATTAAAATTTACGGCATAAGTTTACAGTCTTTAAGTTACCGGCATATGGTTACGGCCAATATAAATCAGGCTTAAGATGATACAATTAATTTTGTTACATCCAGACTCCACTTCTTTTCTTCGCTTAGAATTTTCGTCATCACCATAAAAATTATTACAAGTATTACTGGTAGACTATTTGTTTCTACCATAGAAAGTTACAATAGTGACGAATAACATTCACCTTTTTTAGACTAATAATCCACTCGGTTGAATTAAATATTTGAACCAAGTGTCAAATAGAAGAACTTTATCCTGAGGAATGAAAAAAATAAATAGATTAAGGATTACAAACTGAAGCAGTTGTCTATAATAAATGACACATATGGTTTTAAATTATTGAACATCCGGCAAATGGTTGATGATGAATGTTGTTTTAGACACAAATCCCAGTATCTCATTTCACAACCGATACTTTTAATCCTAATTCTAGATTAGTAACAATATGCGAAGCTTGCACGCGGCACAACTAACTCGTAAATATAAAAAGGAGATCCTTAGCAAACAGTCAGTCAGTTAAATTTTATCTACGAAACGAAATTCTGTCGGTCCGTGACTATACAGTCAAAGTTACTTAGCCAGCCGATATTCCGTGACCAGATCGCTTTACCAATTTTAGTTGTGAGCCGCGATCAATTTTCTCAATCGATATTCGCGTATACAGTCGTCATTCGATCGAAGCCTCCAATATATATATCCAATATATATATATATATATATATATATACTCACCACGAAATCTAGCTCGACTTATAACTGTAATGCTACACTTAACCAACCGCTCATACAAAGGTTGATTTAGAAGCCGGGTCTACCTCGAAATGCGGAGACTCCTGGACAGGCGTACCAGGAGTATTTCGAAACCTTTCGGAATCGGAGTCACCCAGCCGAGGACGCGTTACATCCACTACTTCCGCTACCACCGGCTTCGCCGACTCGACCTATCATGGACCATTATCATTGATAATTATCATTGACTTGACCTCGAACATAGAATTTTTAGCAGAGTTTCCATCTCCTCCTCCGCATAATCATTTCTTCATTCATGATGAACTCTTTTGAGTCCTTAATCGACAGATTTCCATGAGCAACACAAAATTTCCCACCAAATGCCTACATAATCGGTCCCGTGTCACGTCCAATGATTCATGATAAGCAAATCCTAGATGCGATGCTGTTGTGGGCGTATTTCTCATTTGGTAAAAGGGATTAAAATCCTAGGATAATTAATTGTTTTTTACAACTGAAGTCTGGTTTAGAGTTGGTGATTGTTGAAGAGTACTTCCTCTTTCGGTTGGAATGCGAGGTTTTGAATAATATGACGAACACTTGAGATTGTAAATTATAATAGGTATATAGCTTTTATTTTAAATAATGATTACGATTACAATCATGGTTAAGTTGACAAGACTTTGACTTGCACAAGGTATTGTTAATATTAAAGATCTGATGAGTGACACTCTACTAAACTCTACTGATTGATTACTACTGCTTGGCTTGCAGGAATGGGGTTTCTTATATGATACTCTAAATAAAAAGTAACATGACTTACTAGGGTTTCTAGGTAACTGTTTTTTCTTTCCTTATATGGTAGTGGCGTGATCGCACGTTTTGCTCCTTATATGATAAGGTTTATTGAGTTTTAGATCGACTAGGCTTACTCGGTGATGAGTTACGGTGACTTCACATCTAAAAATATCTATGATTCTTTATGCGGAGTATTTAGGTCACTAGTAGCATGATTGGATAATCTAACTTTTCTAGGTCAGCAGAATGTGAGTCATGATGTTATGGTTCTTATATAGCAAAGCTTATTCTATTGTGAGAACGATATTCCTTAATTTAAGAAAAAGTTTTAATAATTTTATTCGTTTCAACGCGTTGAATTATTATTAGACGTGTTTTACATATGATTGGTCGGTTTTTAATCTTATTATTAAATAAATTTATTTTATTGGTATTTGGTTATTTTTCTTACTAAATAACACGTCTAAACTGTGAATTATAAATAGAATTCCTCATTTTTCTATGACATTAATATGATCTTTCAGTTATAGTTAATCGGGTTTGCAATATTGTTATAATTAATTTTATACATAATAACGAATCATTGCGTACGATTATATTGTTTTTAGATGGCACTTAACTGAAGGGAAGCTAAAAAGAAACGATTTGGAGTTGGATATTAGTGGATGGTGTTTTGTCCAGTTAGAATTTTAAGGATATCTCTTATATTATTGAGAATTCAGATATAGATAATACTAAAGAATCTACATGTGGTAACGGTCTATCATAATTTAGCATAAAATTTGATGGTTAATTTGATGGTTAATAGTCAATTGTTTATAACAATTTGTTAGTTAATAATTTTCTTTATTAATGATTTCATATCTATTCGTTAATTAGTTCTATTAAGTTGAGAATTCAATGAAGCGGTTTAGTTTGCTATGTATATGAGATTGTCATATGTATTATATATTGGGTCATCTAAAAAGTATCCGCGGTACTTTGTCACTAGATATATGATCATCAACACACATCTAGTGACAAAAAACCGCGGATACTTTTTAGATGACCCAATATATGGACGTGAGTACCACAGGGATGGTTTTTCCAATAATTTATTAGGTATAGGGGTGATAAAAGAATGAGTTTATAGATATCATTGGAAAGCAGGAATTGTAGGTGTAAACTTTATATTTATAACTCAAAAGATTTGTTTTAAGTAAACATTCAAATATAGTCCTGTTATATACCAAAATGTATA